GTTTGATGTCTGTTAGTGAGTGTGTGTTTGTCAGTGAAAGTGTATGTTTTGTAAGTGAGTGTGTATGTCTGTCTGTCGCTGAGTGTGTCTCTGTCAGTAAATGTGTGTGTCTGTTAGCTAGTGTGTATGCGTATGTTCGTGAGAGTGTGTGTGTGTGTGTCTCTTCAGCATTTACCTTTCTCCAGCGTCGGACTCCCTTGGCGCTGGGGATCCCTCCGCCTCTCAGCTCCAAATGCACATGCGCGGCAAGAGGCGCGCGCGCATTTAAACCGCCCATAGGAAAGCATTACTCAATGCTTTCCTATGGACGTTCAGTGTCTTCTCACTGTGATTTTCACAGTGAGAATCGCGGAAGCTCCTCTAGCAGCTGTCAATGAGACAGCCACCAGAGGCTGGATTAACCCTCAGTGAAACATAGCCGCTTCTCTGAAACGGCTATGTTTTCAGCTGCAGGGTTAAAACTAGAGGGACCTGGCACCCAGACCACTTCATTGAGCTGATGTGATCTGGGTGTCTGCAGTGGTCCTTTAAGTGTGTGTGTACCGCGGTCGCGGGGTCGCAGCCCTGCAACCCCTGCGACCAGGTGCCCGCCGCCATGTGTTGCGGCCCTGACCCGCGCCGAGTAAGCACTGGGGGGAGGAGGGGGCCCACGGATCAATTTTTTTCGGGCCCCATGGGTCATGTGTTGCTTGCATTTAAAAAAAACCTTTTTGGACTGTAATATAATAGCAGTCAGTTTCCTTCACGAGTGTGCGTTTCAGGGCCTGCCCAGTGCCACCACTCACTCACTGGTGTCACAATAGCTTGCATTTAAAAAAAAAAACTTTTTGACTGTAATATAATAGCAGTCAGTTTCCTTCACGAGTGTGCGTTTCAGGGCCTGCCCAGTGCCACCACTCACTCACTGGTGTCCCAATAGCTTGCATTTAAAAAAAAAAAACTTTTTGACTGTAATATAATAGCAGTCAGTTTCCTTCACGAGTGTGCGTTTCAGGGCCTGCCCAGTGCCACCACTCACTCACTGGTGTCACAATAGCTTGCATTTAAAAAAACGAACCTTTTTGGATTGTAATATAATAGCAGTCAGTTTCCTTCACGAGTGTGCATTTCAGGGCCTGCCCAGTGCCACCACTCACTCACTGGTGTCACAATAGCTTGCATTTAAAAAAACAAAAACTTTTTTGACTGTAATATAATAGCAGTCAGTTTCCTTCACGAGTGTGCGTTTCAGGGCCTGCCCAGTGCCACCACTCACTCACTGGTGTCACAATAGCTTGCATTTAAAAAAAACTAAATTTTTGGGACTGTAATATAATAGCAGTCAGTTTCCTTCACGCGTGTGCGTTTCAGGCCCTGTCAGGGCACAGTGTCACACCAGTGCAACTCATAGCTTGCACGCATAGTACCACTAATCGAAAAAAATGGTAAGCAGAGGCAGGCCACCCCGCAGGGGCCGTCGTGGTCGTGCTGCTGTGATTCCCTTTGGCCCTAGAATAATGCCCAGTGTTCAGAGGCCACGTACCCTGAACTCGAAAAGTTCTGAGGACATAGTTGACTGGCTAACACAGGACACCCAATCTTCTACAGCTTCTGCTCGGAACCTTGACGCACCATCCTCCTCCAGCTTAGCTTCGGGCACCTCTCAAGTTACCACTCGCCCGCCTGCCGCCACCACCAACACTAGCACCACAGCAGCTTCACTTGGTATGTCAGAGGAGTTATTTACACATCAGTTGGAAGAAATGAGTGATGCGCAACCATTATTGCCAGAGGATGTAGATAACAGGGATATGTCTCAGTCAGGTAGCATTACACACATGGACGTACAGTGTGATGATGATGATGTTGTACCCGCTGCTGCTTCCTTTGCTGAGTTGTCAGATACAAGTGAAGCGGTTGATGATGACGATGCGTCCGTGGATGTCACATGGGTGCCTGCTAGAAGAGAAGAAGAACAGGGGGAAAGTTCAGATGGGGAGACAGAGAGGAGGAGGAGGAGATGAGTTGGAAGCAGGGGGAGGTCGTCGCAAGGAGCTAGTAGCACAGTCAGACAGCATGCATCGGCACCCGGGGTCAGCCAGACAGCACGCCAATCAACGCATGCTGTTGCCACCATCAGAATGCCGTCATTGCAGAGCTCAGCAGTGTGGCATTTTTTTGTGTGTCTGCCTCTGACAACAGCGATGCCATTTGCAACCTGTGCCAAAAGAAACTGAGTCGTGGGAAGTCCAACACCCACCTAGGTACAACTGCTATGCGAAGGCACATGATCGCACATCACAAACGCCCATGGGATCAACACATGAGTACAAGCAGCACACAAACTCAAAACCGCCATCCTCCTCCTGGTCCAGCATCTTCAGCCACGTTAACAACTGCTGTCTTCCTTGCCCCCTCTCAACCATCCGCCCCTCCGTCTCTCGCCTTGAGCAGTTCCTGCTCATCTGCCCACAGTCAGGTGTCTGTCAAGGACATGTTTGAGCGTAAGAAGCCAATGTCACAAAGTCACCCCCTTGCCCGGCGTCTGACAGCTGGCTTGACTGAACTCTTAGCCCGCCAGCTTTTACTGTACAAGCTGGTGGAGTGTGAGGCGTTCAAAAAATTTGTAGCTATTGGGACACCGCAGTGGAAGGTACCCAGCCGAAAGTTCTTTGCACAAAAGGCAATCCCCAACCTGTACTCGATTGTGCAAAAGGAAGTAATGGCATGTCTGGCACACAGTGTTGGGGCAAGGGTCCATCTGACCACTGATACCTGGTCTGCAAAGCATGGTCAGGGCAGGTATATCAACTACACTGCGCATTGGGTAAACCTGCTGAGGCTGCCAAGCATGGAATGCGTGGCTCTGCAGAGGAGTTGGTGACACCGCCACGACTTGCAGGCAGGCCTGCTGCCACCTCCTCTACTCCTCCTACTCTATCCTCTTCCATAACCTCCTCAGCTGAGTCCTCTTCTGCTGCTGCGTCTTGCTCCACATCAACGGCACCCCCAGCTTCCCAGGTACTATTCCACATCCCGGATCCGGCAGTGTCACGCCATCTGAAAGCAGGGAGTCACACTGGACCAGCACTCCTGTCCGCCCTGAACGCACAGGTGGATCAGTGGCTGACTCCGCACCAACTGGAGATCGGCAAAGTGGTTTGTGACAATGGAAGAAATTTGTTGGCGGCATTGCATTTGGGCAAGTTGACACATATGCCGTGCATGGCACATGTGTGTAATCTGATCGTACAACTCTATGTGCATAAGTATCCAGGCTTACAGGACGTCCTGAAGCAGTCCACGAAGGTGTGTGGCCATTTCAGGGGTTCCTACATGGCCATGGCGCACTTTTCAGATATCCAGCGGTGAAAAAACATGCCAGTGAGGCGCTTGATTTGCGACAGCCTGACACGTTGGAATTCAACACTCCTAATGTTCGACCGCCTGCTCCAACAAGAAAAAGCCGTTAACGAGTATTTGTATGACCGGGGTGCTAGGACAGCCTCTGCAGAACTGGGAATTTTTTTGCCACATTACTGGACGCTCATGCGCAATGCCTGTAGGCTCATGCGTCCTTTCAGGAGGTGACAAACCTAGTCAGTTGCACCGAAGGCACCATCGGCGACATCATACCATTTGTTTTCTTCCTGGCGCGTGCCCTGCGAAGAGTGCTGGATCAGGCCGTCAATGAGCGTGAAGAAGAAGAGGAAGAGTTGTGGTCACCATCACCACCAGAAACAGCCTTATCGGCATCGCTTGCTGGACCTGCGGCAACGCTGGAAGAGGATTGTGAGGAAGAAGAGTCAGAGGAGGAAGACCAACCACAACAGGCATCCCAGGGTGCTCGTTGTCACCTATCTGGTACCCGTGGTGTTGTACGTGGCTGGGGGAAGAACATACCTTCAGTGAGATCACTGAGGACGAGGAACAGGACATGAGTAGCTCGTCATCCAACCTTGTGCAAATGGGGTCTTTCATGCTGTCGTGCCTGTTGAGGGACCCTCGTATAAAAAGGCTGAAGGAGAACGACCTGTACTGGGTGTCCACGCTACTAGACCCCCGGTATAAGCAGAAAGTGCTTGAAATGTTACCGAATTACGGCAAGTCGGAAAGGATGCAGCAGTTCCAAAATCAATTAAAAAGTATGCTTTACACAGCGTATAAGGCTGAAGTCACAGCACAACGGGAATCTAACAGGGGAAGAGGTGAAAGTAATCCTCCTCCTCCCACGACCACGCCGGCAAGGACAGGACGCTTTACAGACGTGTTGTTGATGGAGGACATGCGGAGCTTTTTAAGTCCTACGCATCGCCACAGCCCTTCGGGGTCCACCCTCAGAGAACGACTAGTGGGTGTGCAGGCTTGACCTGTGGCCTGAGCTATCCCAATTTGCGATAGAACTTCTGGCCTGCCCCGCTTCAAGTATCCTGTCAGAAAGGACCTTCAGTGCAGCAGGAGGTATTGTCACTGAGAAGAGAAGTCACCTAGGTCAAAAAAGTCTAGATTACCTCACCTTTATTAAGATGAATGAGGGATGGATCCCAAAGGGACTGACAGTGGGCGATACATTTGACTTAAAAAGGCCTGATCAGGGGGACGTAACAGGGTGTCGCGGCTGCCGGCCCGCCGCGTGATATTTAAATCCCTAGCTCACCCCAGTACCTTGCCCTGTCGTGGTTTCCTGTTCCTGGTTTCCTGAGAGTGCTTTATCATTGTGAATCTGATTTCCTGGTATCCTGATCTTGGCTTTTCCCTGGTTATTCTGAATTCTGGTTTCCCTGACTTGGCTTGTGTAAACGGTATTGTGTATTTTCTGGCTTTCTTGACCTCGGCTTTCCCTTTGACCATTCTCTGTCTCTAGCGTATTAGTCCGGCCATTCTAAGGTCCGGTTTACGCTCTGTCCTTTTATTTTCCTTTTCTTGCCTATGTATATGTTTACATAGTTTCTGCGTGCTGGACCACACTAGTAGTCGTGACATTGGGATTAAACTAATAAGAATAGTACGACTTAACACACCACTCCTATCTGGTGGCACATTAGATTGCACATGCAGTGCCCCAAATTTGAAGTAGGAGGACCGACCAAGCATCTTTTTCCATCTCCCGGTTCCTAAAATCGATGCCATATACACGTCCCCTGATAGGGGACATAACAGAGATTAAACTGATAAGAATAGTACTACTTCCAAATTGAAAAAACTTAAAAAGAAATAATTTGCTATTTATACTGCATGACGTCGTTGGGGGGGGGTGGGGGGAGGTATCTCTATCCTAAATTTTCTCAACCTGTTTAATTTTTAATACTCATCATATGATGTTCTACATATACCCATCTCCATTTTAATTTGATAAATAATTTGGATGTTAACCTGCTCCCAACAAGGAGCTGTAACCATCTGCCAGTTTCTGGCAATCAGCATCTTGGTGGCTGCCAAAATATGTATCACAATACTTGAGGCAGGGCCAAAAATATTTTGAATATTTAGTTGTAATAAAAGTAATTGAGGTTTAAAATCAAAAGTTTTTGAGAGTAAAGTTTGAATTTTTATATGTATCACTAAATGGCCATTGAAGTGGTACTATAAACCTCCAGTTATTAAGATATGCATAGGTAATTAGGAGATTCCACAAGTTACTTTTTTCTTTGGTTTATATTGTGAATTTAGCTTAACCCCTTAAAGATATTAGGAAGTGTCATTACTTCCTAACGATAATGGGCTTTAATGCCTCTAGGGCATAATGACACATCCTGCAGATTTGGTGTGTGTAGGGTTAAATCCCTGCTCACACTAGGTGGCCCTATATTTCAATGTATACCTGGGGCTCCCTTCTGTTAGCTGGGCACTTTTTATGTGGCCTCAGACATTTTGATGAGCTGTATGTAGTGCACTGGATATAGCCCTTTAAATCCATAGAGAACACTGCAGCTAAGCCATCAAGCTTAGCCATAGTGATTATCTCACTGAATGTAGTGATTGGGAGACCTCCAGGGTCTGAACAGGCCCTGGAGGGTCTCCTTCTATGTCTCAATAGTCAGTAGTAAACAGGAACATCTGTTTTAGCTCAGATTTCACTTTGCTAATATCAATACTGTTATTAGCAGAGGGAAACCTTTGGGATTAGGATTACATTAGGAATTAATCTTAGTTTTAGAATAAATATCAGGTTTAGTATTGGGTTTATTAAGTTTGTACTTAAAATGGGTTTAGAATTAATTTGAGGATTGAGATTCAATTTCAGATTCGAATTAGGGCAAGCAAGGGAATCCCTCTGCTGAAATCTGCAAGGGAATTTATCTGCTGACATTAACAGAGGGAATATTCTAACACTATTTATAGGGTTAGGATTGAGATTATGATTATGGTTATATTTATGGTTAGGTATAGATTTAGGGTATAGGTTAGGATTAAGGTGAGGTTTATTATTAGATTTGGGATTATGAATTGGTTTAGAATTAGGATTAAGGATTTAGATTGCTACGTTGCAAAGATATATGAAGGGGGTATCGTTGTACTCAGGAAATGCAGCTGAGTATAGATAATTTTATTACAGAGACACATGCAATTTAAAAAATATGCTAAAAAATACAATGTGTATGTAAAAATAGAAAAATTTATACCACAAACTTTAAAAACAAATGGTGAAAAAAATGACACCTCAATAAAGCTAAAAGGATATCTAGTGATAGTCACCATGAGATCCACTTTTGAAAATGAGATGCATTTATGGAATAATTTAAATATGCAATCTACTTAAATGCCCCAAATTGCAACATAAGCCCATCTTAAATGTTTCTAAAACTGCAACGATTTACATTGCAGGACTAAGTGGGACTGGAACACTGCAGCCAGACCATTTCCTAGAGCTGAAGTGGTCTGGGAGTTTATAATGTCCCTTTAACTTATAGTGGGACAATTATATAAAATAAAATCATAATCTGCTAACCAATCAGTTTTTATTTGGGTTCTGTTATTCTATTACATTGATACTTTATCTCCACTACTTGTCTTCCTCATGTGTATTTTGTGACTCTTGTTCAGACACGTCTCCAGGTGTTTTATGTGACGTATCTTCTCCAGATGTCTCATGTGATGTGTCTTCTTCAGATGTTGTATATGACGTATCTCCCGTAGAATCTGTCTGGCATTCTATATCACTTTGTTTTTCATTTTCCCTTTTCCAATAAATATAAATGCTGCAACAAATCAAAATATGTCAAGTATATTTGTTCAAAATTCATTAAACAAGATAACTCGTAAACGCCATGTCTCCATCTTCTATCTTATTTAAAGGGACACTATAGTCACCTGAACAACTTTAGCTTAATGAAGCAGTTTTGGTGTATAGAACATGCCCCTGCAGCCTCACTGCTCAAAACTCTGCCATTTAAGAGTTAAATCCCTTTGTTTATGAACTCTAGTCACACCTCCCTGCATGTGACTTGCACAGCCTTCCATAAACACTTCCTGTAAAGAGAGCCCTATTTAGACTTTCTTTATTGCAAGTTCTGTTTAATTAGGATTTTCTTATCCCCTGCTATGTTAATAGCTTGCTAGACCCAGCAAGAGCCTCCTGTATGTGATTAAAGTTCAATTTAGAGATTGAGATACAATTATTTAAGGTAAATTACATCTGTTTGATAAGGAAACCTGTTTTTTTTTTTTCATGCAGGCTCTGTCAATCATAGCCAGGGGAGGTGTGGCTAGGGCAGCATAAACAGAAACAAAGTGATTTAACTCCTAAATGACAGTGAATTGAGCAGTGAAATTGCACGGGAATGATCTATACACTAAAACTGCTTTATTTAGCTAAAGTAATTTAGGTGAATATAGTGTCCTTTTAACCCCCTTGACAATGGATAAACAGTAACTATGTTTAACAGTATGTATTGGTTTAGTGGAAGTACTCCCGTATGTCTGAAGAAAGCATCAAAATACCACCATGCAGGGCCAGTATATGTGTTCTTACCGCCCAATGAAAAAATGCTGCCACACCCATATGTATGCCATATCTCCCTTAAGTCTCTTTTCCCATCTTTTGTGCCTCTCTGCTTTCTCCCTCTGCTAATCTTTACTGGCTCTTTTTTTCCAGAACCTTTCTATCAATCTCCCACCACATGTGTGTCTGCTCTACAACATCTGCCACTGTTTCTTTATATTATAGCCTCTGGTCTGGAGTTTATTCGATGAGTTCAATCAGTTGCACATTGTGAGTTGGGCAAATAAAGATATTATTCTTGCACCTCTATGCTTATTGCACCTCTTACCCAAGTTTATTTGTTTTGTATTTAAACAGTGGTTTAGGTATCAACACTCATAGTAGTGGTTATAGTGTCAGGAGTTCCCTGCAGTGGTTATGTTGGCAGTGATTATGGTGGGCCAACAAACATATTGCAGTAGAATACAGAAAGTATGGTATAGGTGCTCACTATTTCCTAAACGATGTATAGGGGCTGATTATCACACAAGATTTTCTCAACCTTGTGAAGATATAGGAACAAAAATCAAGCAAAATGGACATAATTCGCGCCTATGGTTTAATACAACCTCATGTAAATAAAAGTATATACATACATATATGCACCAGAATCTTGTTTGTAGATGAATAGCTTCAAAAAACAGAGAAGGTGATAACAAACAATCTTAGAGTAGTATATAGGTTAAAGGATCACTATAGTGTCAGGAAAACAAAGCGGTTTTCCTGACACTATAGTGCCCTGAGGATGCCCCCACCCTCAGGGTCCCCCTCCCGTGACGCTGAAGGGGTTAAAACCCCTTCAGTTACTTACCTTAATCCAGTTCCGGGCTCTCTCGACGCTGTGACCTCTCCTCCCCCGCTGACGTCAACTCCCCCGTCTGACATTAGTGGAGCCGAATGCGCATGCACGGCAGTGCCTCACACCCATTCAATGTGTTCATAGGAAAGCATTTCTCAATACTTTCCTATGGACGCTCTGCGTGATGGAGGCAGAATATGCCCCAGCGTCGCAGATGCGCCTCTAGTGGCTGTTCGGAAGGCAGCCACTAGAGGCTGGATTAACCCCAAATGTAAACATAGCAGTTTCTCTGAAACTGCTATGTTTGCATCTGAAGGGTTAAAACCTGAGGGACCTGGCACCCAGACCACTTCATTGAGCTGAAGTGGTCTGGGTGACTATAGTGTCCCTTTAAAGTTGGAATAATAGATTTCTATTGACAGGTCACTCACTTCATATTAAAACATAAATATAAATATATATATATATATTTATTATATTTATATTCTTTTTAATATTTTTTTAAAATTTAAAAATATATATTTTATCCTTTATTAATTATGCCAATTATAGATCTGTGTTGAGACCTCCTGACATAGATATCTAGATTTATAAATTGCAATATATGTTTTAATATCTTATGTGTTTAATATGTATGATACATAATGCTATCCTTTTTTCTGTCTGTCATTGCTTATGAATATCACTGCCCAAACTCATGAACACGAACTACTTTATACATGCATGCGCATCAAATAGCACATAGAACATTCCCTCCTTTCATGCGCGCTAACCTGATGTCACCGCGCATGGGCAGTTGAAGTTCGCTCCCATATACAGATGGCCGCGGCGAACAAGCCCTTCCAGGAATCAGAGGAGTTGATCCTAATTTAGGATTTGCATATGGTCTACTGGAGGAACCAATTATAGACCGTATGCATTATGACATCATCTCTAATAGACATTGCAAAACTGGAAGCTTTCTAGGAAACCAATTAGATTGTTTTTTATCAGCTGCTAATCATTATTGTTGTTAAGTATGTATGTATATAAGTCTTACCTATTTCAAGGCTAAGTCACACTTCTGATGAAACCCCATCGTGAAACGCATTAAGTGTGCCTCTACCCTTTTTGGATTTTAAATCTATATTTTAAATATACCTTTTTGTTTGTTAAAAAAAGTTTATTCCTGTAAATGTTATTATTTATTTGGTATGTACTTTATACTCCTTCTTTGGTTTCCTGGATTTTACTGCAATTCTGGACCTGCATATCCCAAGTGGGGATCATACCACTAAAGCTCCATCATAGTAAAACAGGTTCATGCTCTGAAAAATGTGAGTGAGATACCTTTTACTTTTTTTTGAAGATACATATAGTATTAAACATATTGCACTACTGGATGCTCTTGTCTATGTCTTTTCATATCACACTCTACATCATCACTGCTGATTGCA